CAGCATATTTTCAGGGTAGTCCACCTGGAAGGTGTTCAGGGAGGTCTCCTGAACACGTTGATACCAAACAACCTTTTACAACACCCCATGTCTGGTTGACCCTAAAAATGGGGGTTTGCCCCCTGGGTAATATATTTAGATGTAGGTTTAGTGTTGGTTGTCTTGTAGTTAGAGTTACCGTAAGGGTTAACGTTTTGAACGTCATCGTCAACGTTATCACGGGACCTCCCTCCACGCCCGGGGGATAGCAACACCCATACATGTATATGACCTTAGCATGACCTTATAGCCGCCGCTGCCACTGTTAACTTCCTGTTCCGTATTCATTGTACATGCGCAGTTAGCGCCGTCGCCGGTAAACTTTGTTGTTTACTTTTGTGTAAAACTGTTGTGTTCGTCGACGTTGTAATGTAAAGTTAGTTGACTTTCCTTGAGTTTCAAATTCGGCAGGAATACGTCTGTGAACTTATATTACTAAAGCAAAGGTAGTGTGTCTGAGAATTGAGTCATTGGTAAAACGTTACGTTACTCGCTTCCCACGGAGTTATGACGAAAACAGCTCAATGCGTAAGTACAAAAGTACACAGGCCCTTGGGCTCATAGACCGAATAATTCTGTCCCATATAACCTTTTTTATATTTTGGTGAGGGTTATATTGGGCCAATATAACCAATATAACCCTCACCAATATAACGCCAATATAACTCGCCAATATAACCCTCACCAAAATATAAAAAAGGTTATATGGGACAGAATTATTCGGTCTATTGGGCTCATAGACATAGGGTCTATATTAGATACAATAATGTAACCCAAACCCAAGAGGATAGGGTTTGGGTTACATTATTGTATCTAAGGGTCTATGTCCCCCAGGGTACTGCCGGAACGTACCCTGGGTACGGTCCGATATACCGGAACGTACCCTGCAAGCATGGTCACTATTTGATATGGTTAGGGTTAGCCTAAACCGACCAGGCTCTCCGACTGTTACACGACACACGCCACGTAGTGTTAAGCGAGATGGGAACTTGTGGCTAGGGTTAGCCAGGGTTAGGGTTAGGGTTAGTGAGTAGGCGTAGGCGACTCCCTAGACTCGTTAGTGGAGTAGGCGAGGTACGGTCCGGGATATTAGATAGTACCAGGGTACGTTCCGGCAGTAGGCCTACCCTGGAGGACTTAGACCCTATGAGCGTGACTAGTGAGTAGTGTGTTAGATCCTGCACAATCTTTTACACTACACTGCACAACTTGTTGACCTCAGACTAACTTAATTTACTATTAGACTAATGATAGACTAAAATAGTGGGTAAAATGGATAAACAGTTTTAACCCAATAACTTCACACCCATTCACAAATTGCAAATATTTCCAACCTTTGATATAGTCTCTTGGACTATGTCACAAGAGACTATGTCAGAATACTAATATTTATGAGGTTGTGAGGTTAGCATGCCACCAGATTTGATTTTGGGTGGAATTCGACCTGCGATTGGATCCGTTGGGAGCTGTAGCGACAAGAACGTTAGTTGAAATCTCTCTTGAATTTGTGCAACTGTGTGAAGTTTACACAGTTTTATCCATCTATTTTACTCTACAATGAAAGCACTTCCATATTTTCTGCAAGAGATGTGGCATAGGTGGAATATGGAGGTGGCATATAGTCATACTTAGCAGGTCACATTTATTAGCAGGTCACCTACTTAGCAGGTCACATAGTGCAAGGTAGCTCTAGTACTATAGCCCACGTACAGTTGCCGCAAACCTGCAGCAACTGTACGCGAGCTATAGTACTAGAGCTAGGTGCAAGGCTGACACTAATATAGGCCACTATTAATCAATACATGTACACAAACTGAGGCAACCCAGATGTGACTGCTGAAACTATTCTAAAGAGCAATGCTGTAACTTGTAAGCTGGAAGTAGATAGCCGTTGTAGAGAAGAGTGAAAGGAAAGATTGCTGCAATGCATTATCTCAGACTATAGATGATAAAACATAATAACACTGAGCTCAGGTTACTTCCAGGAAGCTCGTTACACTACTTCCTGAGATTACTTATAATAAAGTTTCACGGTTACATAATTGCGAAAAGGCTAGAATATCAGGAATATCATATTTGCATACTAATTGCTGTTCTTGAAGGTCTAGAATTCCGCATCAACTACTGCCGTCAGGTTACCTTTATGTAGCAAGTTAATGCGCCATGTGCGTGCGTGCGTGCGTGCACTCGCATTTGTATGCGAACGTACAACGCATGCATGTGTGTGCGTGCGTGTGTGTGCATACATGTGTGTGCATGTATGTACATGTGTAAGGGCACGTGCGTGCGCGTGCGTGTGTGTGCCTGCATGTGTGTTACATAGATTCTCGTAAAACGCTCGTGTATTGCACGATCTAGCTCTACTCGTGTAACTCTTCCTACTTCCCTAGCACTACATGGATCAAGAGTCAATTTCTATTATGTACTCTTGATGGATAGACCCATGCTTGACAGTGACATGTTTTGGTGATTATGAATTATTCTCATAGGCACGTTGGTCTGTTTATGTTGTTATGTTATAGCAAACCCAGGTGACACTGACAGCCATTGAAATATATAACCAGATACACGTGCACAATTGTCAATATAAGCCACTGTAATAAGTACATATAAATAAGTAGTAGTATGAATGTAGTAGTAAACGGTAATTCTTCTGTAGATGTATCTGCTAATTCACATATGTTTGACTGTGGCTGTTATATGAGTTCCATGGCTCTTTACTATGTTCGGGGGATTTCACACGTTGCTAACGAAGTAATTTGTGAAACAATCACAGTGTCTGTTAAATTATACTATTGTGAAGCTTCGACGTTAGTGTTGCTGTAGCTATTACTAGCTGCTTTCATGATCCGATTGATTCTCGTGGTTCTCAGTCTCTGAATAACATATATCTGTTATATCTATTGGACTTCACTTGAGATAACGTCATATCAGTGTTACGTGAAGGCATAGCGCAACGGCAAATGCTGCCGATATATATGTTTTCGCATGTTCGTTATACGGCATACAAATTTTTGATTTATATTAATATATTGATTTTAATTATACATCGTTGGGGGGAATCAATGGCAGCTATGTAACAAATGACTGTTCTATGAAAGAGGAACTTGCAGCTCGTATCCAAGCAACATCATGTGCATTTGGTCGACTACGTCAAAGAGTGTTCAACTCACGTGACCTTACAATAAACACTAAAGGGTCATTCTGTGTTTCTTAAAAGTCAAAGTCTACAACCAGTGTCTTATGCCACTTCTGATGTACGGCAGAGAAACCTGGACTCTGTACCATCATCAAGTTCGATAACTGAGAACAATACAACAACGTCATCTGCGCTTAATCATGCATATTAAATGGGATCATTAGATCAGTAACGAGGAGGTCCTGAACAGAGCGGGTGTTGAAGACATCGAGTTGAAGCTAGTTAGACCTCATCTGCGTTGGTTTGGCCACGTCTGTAGAATGTATAATGACAGACCAGCAAAGGCACTCCTATACAGCAAACTAGCAAATGGATCCCGATCTATTGGTTGCCATAAATTGAGCTATAAGGATACCTGCAAAGGTGCTCTGAGGTGTGGTAATGTCCTTGATCAGTGTAGGAATGTTGTAGACAACAGACAGGAGTGGAGAGGTCTTGTGCATACAACTTGTGAATGCTTCAGCATAAAGAGAATCAAACAGTATGAAAGAAAAAGTGAACGAAGACTAAAGAATTTGAACAAAACATGATCTATGAACTTTATAGCGATAGATATTTGTACTACATTATTATTCTGTGTAATGCCCGTTTCGGGCTCTCCCTAGGCGTATATATATATATATATTTGACAAAGGAGAGGCAAATAGAGAATGCTGTTATAACTATCGTCCTACATGTTAGATCTTGATCAGGAAAGTTCATACCAGAAAATTATATATTTGCCGAAAGCTGGGACTAAATATATTGCTGAGTGATTCATTTGTTCCTGTCATGAGTGATGCATGCATATATAGAGACGTATGTACATAAATGCACTACACGCACAAATTTACCGCTTTTATACTTGATCACAACGCTGGCTTTACAAGGCAAGGCACCTTTAAGGCTTTTTTGAGGCTAATATATATATATAATATCATATATATGGTAATATGAGAATGCAAGTAACTCTGCGCCACCTGTTTGGAAAATGATTTCACTTGGTAACTTTTTAGTCATAATGGATGAGTTGCACAGTGCATGTATGAAGGATACATGTATAGAAATGGACCATGTTGATCTTAAATTTAACTATTTAACCATTTCATAATTACGTATATCCTGTATTGAATAGATATAATAATTAAAAATCGTTTTTAATAATCAAAATCCGATGTTCTGCCTCTAGTTATAAAATGTGTTGTTTATTATGCATGTGTTGTTGATTACTTCCTCTAGGGAAAATGCTTCACAAACCGTATAAGCCTTCTGACATAATATTAATAAGCTTAATTTTCAGGTCGCGCAGTCAGAGCAGTTATACTTGGCGCACATGCACAATGATGCGCGTTAGTGTCCAGGCTATAGGGTACAGCCATTCCTCAGTCTTGTTGTCTCCTTGTAATATGTTACAAGCCGTTAAGTGATGCCCCTGGTACCTTTGCCGTGTATTCCTGTGCTTTATTTGTGATTGCGTAAATTTCCAGACCATTCGTTGTATATTGCCATCAGAAACTGTATAAAGAAAGTGTGTCATTGTTAATTTGTCCCTTTATTAAATGCATACACGTGTTTATTTCCGTTTCCGGCCCTCTCTCTCCTATGCCTCCCCTATTTATTCTTCTCCCTCTTCATTGTATATCCCTCTAGCACCCTACCCCTCTCTTCCTCTCCCTCTGCCTCTTCGATTCCCAATCTCCCCTTTTTCTCTGACTCCCCTTTTCCCTCACCCCGTCCCCCCTCTCCTTCCCACACATGCATTTTGCAGTGCAATTTATCTATACAATTGTATTTGAACTGATTCCATTTATAAATACACAGAGACACGCACGCACACGCACGCACGCACACACACGCACGCACACACACACACACACACACACACACACACACACACACACACACACACACATGATGACAGTAGTAGGATCAACCTAATATCGCAGAGGGATATAAATATGTGCAGCGTGCAAATATATAAATACGTGTAATGCCTGCAGCGTGGCATTAAGTGAGCCATGCATTGTCTGCCTGTCACGTACCTCTCTCTGCATCACTAAACAGAAAGTCGCCTGTCTATACCTTTTTACTTTTTCTTATCTATTTATATAGGGTTACTGACAGACATGTCATGTAGCACTTGACTTACATGCTTAGCCCGCACCTCTGCCACAATCGAGTTAACCCCGTTGAGAGAGATTACCAATTTACCCACCTCTCTATTGAGTATTATCGCTCAAGATAAACCGGTTTCTATGTATTTTCCAAGCGTGCGCACGATAATGATACTTGGTTTCCAAGTATTGCTTTGAAAGTGTCATATCGTATTATCGTGACCTGTTAAACACGCCATGCAGGCAGATATGCCAATCACTTTCATGAAGAAGCAGGTTAAAAAGTAGACGCCACGCTGCTAGAAAAAATTCTCCCTACCATACTAATTGCAGTCGTCTTCTAACAACTTCCCCGACCCTTCCGTCCTGTCTCCTCCTCTTAATCATTCTCGTTTCCTCTCGTTGCTATTAGGCTGATGGCCATTATCAAGCGAAAGGACACGATGTCTCTGCGAGTTGCCCAGTGTCTCGTCGCGGTGATCTGTGTCTCGCACGTGTTGTACGGAGTGCCGCTGTGGCTGTGGTCCGGTTTGTCAGATAACACGAACGGGCGCAAGACGTGCACGCCAAACCTCTACCAACCGCCCCACTTCATCGTCTATCTCCAGGTCACGACCACGCTCAACTTCTTTCTGCCTCTGCTGACCGCCTGGATGGGTTACGTTGTCATTATCGTTCACGTATGGATGTCGAAATCCAAGGTATTTTTCTGCATGCGAGTGATGACGTGTGTCGTAGATAAAACCGTGACGTCTTTTGTCAGCTGAAACCGTGAAAACCTAGACTGTTTTTCTGATGAATATATCCCAACCAGTATTAGGTGTTGACATTTTAATATGAGTAGGGAGGCAAATACTCTCTGTTCGCCTGGGGGGCTTCCTAAAGCCGGCCTTGGGTCGGAGACTCGGATTGCGATTGAATGCGACGCGACGCATTGCAACTCACTGCGACTGAGTGCTTAGGTCGACAGAGACGCGACTGAGAGCGACTGACACTGGCAGTCACAGGCAGTCGCAGGCAGTCGCAGAAGGCGCTTGGGTCGAAGCGACGATCGCCTATAGGTCGCGCAACTAAATGATCATGCGATCGTTCAAAATGGCGTCGTCCATGTTACAGATTTGTTGACGGTCAATTTACGATGAAAATATCATGTTTTGATTGTAAATCAACATCTCATTTAAAAGTATTTGTAAAATATTTACAAATATTTATACCGTTGCCATTATGCCATTAATTGGATCCCAGAAGAGCCGATAATTCCTGAAAATCTTTCCAACTGGAAAGCTATTTTATTTAGATCCCTGTCCCTTTTACCACGATCGGAATAACTTATTGACTCAGAGTCGAAAAGTGACGGCCTGTCTGACCATAATTCAATTATGTTTCTTCAGCTGCCTCTGGCCACGGCTCGAGTCGGTCGCCATTTTGAACAGCTACATGACTTTTGCATTCGATGCATTCGATGCATTTTATTTTTATGCATTCGAATCTCGTCGCAGCGATTGCAAGGCAGCTCATGTCGGGTAAAACTCCAAGCGACGGGTGGAAACTAGTCGCATCGCGTCGCAAAAGTAGTACATGCGCAACTCGAAGCGACTGTCCATTTTTCAGTCGCTGAGCGTCGCAGACCCATCTCTAGCAGTCGCAGGAGTGCTTAGGTCGAACTGTCCCTGCGACGCAATCGTCACTGCGAGTTGCACCCAGTTGCAGAAAATCCGTCGCTGGCAATCGCGTCGCGTCGCAAGGTCGACCTAAGGCCAGCTTAACGTGTTACTAGCAGAAATCAGTGTATTTCTCCCAAAAATGTACAGTTAACGATAAAAACATGCTTCCCCCACCTGAGGTAAACGGGTGGAAACAGACTGTGAGTGTGATGGGCTTTGGCTTGGCCTATGTCTGCCATTACCTAGTGTAGGGCAGGGGGCTCCCCGAGCTCGCGCGAGTGGAAAGTTGGCTTAAGCTGGGTTTACACTATGGAAAAGTCAAAGTTGACAAGTTTCTCAGCGTTCTACCAACCTTTCTATCAGAAGTTTTTAAAAGAGGAATCTTAAAAAGGGAAAGTTGGCTAATGCAATGCGGGTGGTCGGGTACGTTTCTTGGCTTCAGGTGGGTGTCGCTACCAAGCGAACGGACAGCGGAGGATGGAAGAGGGTCCTGAACTTGTCGCGCATGTGCATCATCATATGCATCATCTACACTGTCTGCTGGCTGCCTCTCGAGGTACGCGTGGGCGTCTGTGATGTCAGCGGCTGTGACCGTGATGATGATGATGCTTACAGTGAATATGACGATAGCAACGATGATAGCAAATATAATAGCGGCTGTGACCGTGATGATGATGATGCTTACAGTGAATATGACGATAGCAACGATGATAGCAAATATAATAGTGGCTGTGACCGTGATGATGATGCTGCTGCTTACAAGTTACAGTGAATATGACGATAGCAACGATGATAGCAAATATAATAGCGGCTGTGACCATGATGATGATGCTGCTGACAGTGAATATGACGATAGCAACGATGATAGCAAATATAATAGCGGCTGAGCGGCTGTGACCGTGATGATGATGCTGCTGACAGTGAATATGATGATAGCAACGATGATAGCAAATATAATAGCGGCTGTGACCGTGATGATGATGCTGCTTACAGTGAATATGACGGTGACCGTGATGATGATGCTGCTGACAGTGAATATGACGATAGCAATGATGATAGCAAATATAATAGCGGCTGTGACCGTGATGATGATGCTGCTGACAGTGAATATGACGATAGCAACAATGATAGCAAATATAATAGCGGCTGTGACCGTGATGATGATGCTGCTTACAGTGAATATGACGATAGCAACGATGATAGCAAATATAATAGCGGCTGTGACCGTGATGATGATGATGCTGACAGTGAATATGACGATAGCAAATATAATAGCGGCTGTGACCGTGATGATGATGCTGCTTACAGTGAATATGACGATAGCAACGATGATAGCAAATATAATAGCGGCTGTGACCGTGATGATGATGCTGCTGACAGTGAATATGACGATAGCAACGATGATAGCAAATATAATAGCGGCTGTGACCGTGATGATGATGCTGCTGACAGTGAATATGACGATAGCAACGATGATAGCAAATATAATAGCGGCTGTGACCGTGATGATGATGCTACTTACAGTGGCCACGATGATAGCAATAATGTTACTGGCTATAGGAAAACGATAGTGATGCTACTACTAGCCATGATTTTAATATGATTTAGCATGGAAAAAAGAACGTAAACGAAATAAAGAAGGTACGAACGTCGCACGATAGAACATTGAATACGGGTGCTTTTGCGTGTGCAGGTTGTGGTCATGGTGGCCCTCATACCCGTGACAGTGTCTCGGGAACTGTTTAGACTCTGCTACGTTCTTGCATCGTTAACCTGCTGGGTAAATCCCATCCTCTACGGAATAGCCTGGAAGCCATTTCGGCAGCATCTCGCCAAGGTAGCTTCTCTTTAGAAAACTTAGTCGAATTTCGAGATTTAAAAAAAATGTCATCGATCCTGAGAACAATGTTCACAGGCTATGAAATTATTATTTATATTGTTGTTGTTGTTGTTGTTGTTGTTGTTGTTGTTGTTGGTGTTGGTGTTGTTACTAAACACAAATTCAATTGTTCAGGTTCATTCAACGCTCGGCATTACATAATTGTGCGATTTGTGGTGGAATAGTAGATTTTCCTCAGAGTCTTACTGCTCTCTACTGTGCGTTGCAAATCTCGTTTTCATCGTTTTTCAAAATTACTTGAAGTGAGGATGAGCAACATGAGAGATAGCGTTTACCGAGAAACGAAAATCGCGCGTTTATTTCTCACGCGCAGTTTACTTGTTGGCTGTCGACGCGCAAGCTGATGTGGAGCGCTCCCTGTGGATGCAGCGACACGTCCCAGCAGTCGAGCTCACGCGTCGCGCCGTCTGCCTCCAGCGGAAAGGTCGCGACCTTGTCAAACCTGACGCCGAGCAACGTCGGATGCCATCTTGTCGACGGCCGGGGCCGTGTGCCCCGCAGCGGCACCGACGAGATCAACTTGGGAGCGTCCGGCAGCGGCACGATGCCCGTCGAGCGCATAGAAGGTGCCACCGGGAGCTGCAAGGTCGCGGCGGGGGTCTGCGGGGGTCGGCGGCACGACCCGGGGGCATGGGCGTGTACCGCGACCTTGGTGGTAAGCGTGGTCAGTGTGGAGCATGAGTCGGGAGAGGACGTGCGCAGTCTCGCGAGCGTGCACTCGCTCGAAGGCAAGTTCTAACCCGTGCTGCTGACTCGCCTCAGTTTATTTTCCTATATATCGTATATATCATACACATATCTATATATATATTTATTAGCTCATCTGACATAGTCAGATGCAGCTTGTAGAATCGCTTGATCGTCCGTCCGTCCGTCCGTCCGTCCGTCCGTCCGTCCGTCCGTGCGTCCGTCAACAGTTGGGCACAAATCTTAACCGCTCGACGTACGGTCACGATATTTGGCACATTGGGATGTCGAAGCTGGGGGTCAAAGGTCAAAGGTCAAGAGGTGTAAAAGAAGGGGGAACATTCACTCCTTAACTTAAGGTATAGGGAGGAAATGCAAAATTGCGGCACAAATCTAAACGGCTCGACCTAGGCTCGTGATAGTCGGTGTATAGCATCATGGTAGGAAAAGCCATCACTGTGCCGAAATTGGAGGTCACAGGTCAAAGGTCAATGGGGCACAGGGCAGATTTTAGACATTTTCTGAGGACATGGTGTGACGGAGCGTTTGAAAAACTTTTTTGTTTCAGCGGTGACCTAGCATTTTTATGGCTTTATTGAAAGGACCATGAAATGTGCTTTCCACTGACGTGCGAAGAGTAAGTGTCTGATAACCTTTTGACCCTCAAGAGGAAGGATTTAAACATGGATTTAACTGTTACTGTGTTAGAAAGAATTTGACTGCTGGGTTTGCTAGTAGAATCTATACATGCCTGGATGTATGAGGCTACAATGTCACAGTGAAATTTCAAAAGCTAAATTTGCTTGAAGAAGGTTTATGCTCCTTAAATCGTATAATTTCTATGGCATTCTGTACTGTCAGTGTGTTAATATGCCACTGCCAGTGGCCACTGCCAGTGCATGTGGTGGTGATAGCATGGTGTAGTTTTTGCCTGCGTTAATTAGGTACAGGTGGCAGCTCTCTATTGCAGCCTGTAGGAGGGTTAAACATTGATTTGTTTCTCAACTGCGTTGGCGAGTACCTGTGGTTGTGGAGCGCTCCCATTTTACAGTGAAATTCCACACATAACTCTTACTTGAACAATGCTTACTTAGGAGATAATGAGAGGAAGTTATATATGAGATTCTGTAGTGTACATTATGAATAGTTGGAATAGTCACTAGCACTCAAATAATTACCCAGGAGTGAGGCTGTAGATTTCCCAGACTTAATTTTCTCATCAAATTTTGGCACCAATATAGACGCAAGTGTGTACGTTCTTGAGCTTATTCGGTCCACTAATCACTGGTCTACCTTGTTTGG